AAATATGAGGAAAAGCCCCGTATCTCTGTGTAGAAGTGCTTCAAATGGTGGTGAAAAGACAACATTAATAATAACAAGTGTCAAAGACACAAAAGGATATCCTCAACAGCAACAATTTAATTAACCCTCCTGTCTCATTAGCAGTCAGGGGGGGCAAGAAAGAATGGCTTTAATTAGCACTTTTGTAAAGCTTTATTCTACAATTGTCCCTCCTGCTGGTGCCCAGATTATGGCATTGCCTGAGAAACACAACACTTTATCAGAAGACAACAGGCCCTCCATGGATGTGAACCCGTGTTGGGTCCTTTTCTCTCCTCAATCCTAATTCAAGCAGAACATTGGGATGTATGTGATGTCCTGACTCTTTAGGTTTTAGATGTTCATGCTTCTTTAGAGAGGAACAACTGAAAGGGATCTGGCTGAGCAGAAGGAAGTCAATGACTGGAGAAGATGGAGATTGAAAACCTTCCTAGTGCTAAGACATGTTTAGAATATGTTTAGAATCTCCAGCTAAATACCTTTTTGTTACTTTGTGTTATGCGTTTATCTGCAAGTAGACCTTTTGAAGCCAACCGTGCATACGCCGCGATTGTCGTACATAATCGGACTGCGGAGTGCAAATGGTGGCACGGACAGATTGCAGGTAGCTCTGAATTGTACCAAAAACAAATATAATGTAGCGCTACCCTCAAATATCAGTTGTATCAAATTTAATATATAGGCATACCTTGGTTTACGAATTTAATTCGTTCTGTGGGACTTTTTGTATAGCGACAAATTCATAAACTGAAACGCGATTTCCCATAGGAATATGTTGAAAACCAATTAATCCGTTCCGGAGGTCAGAAAAAAGTAATTGCTACTAAAATACCGCATGAGTTATTTCATCAAGTCATGCTGTATTTTAGTAGTGACAACCATGTGTTAATGTTTCAGCTGTCAGCGGGGTTCCCCACAGACAGCTGAATGTAAAAGAATTGCCGGCAATTAAAAAAATATTTTATAAAACAGCATGGGTCCCCCCTCCCATCCATACCAAGCCCTTCGGGTCTGGCATGGATTTTGAGGGGAACTCCCACACCAAAATTGAAAAAAAAAATGGCGTGGGGGTCCCCCCCCCAAAAAAAAAATCCATACCAGACTGTTATCCGAGCATGTAGTCTGGTCAGGAAAGCAAGCGCCAACCCCCACCCCCCCCGAACCATACCAGGCCATATGCCCTCAACATGGGGGGTGCTTTAGGGCAGGGGGGCTCCCCCCCAAAAAAAACCCTGTCCCCATGTTGATGGGGACAAGGGCCTCTTCCCTACAACCCTGGCCGGTGATTGTGGGGGTCTGTGGGCAGGGGGCTTATCAGAATCTGGAAGCCCCCTTTAACAAAGAGGCCCCCAGATCTCGGCCCCCCCCCATGTGAATGAGTATGGGGTACATGGTACCCCTATACATTCACAAAAAAAAAAAAAGTGTAGTGTGAAAAAAGACAGGACATGGTCTTTGACAAGTCCTTTATTAAAAGAAAAACTAAAAGAATATCCCCCTGACAGGGGCGGACTGACAACTCATGGGGCCCCCGGGCAATAGGGGATCATGGGGCCCCTGTGTCTTTGCCCAAACTCAAAAAAGCCTATGAAAAAAGGTACCAGGGGCATCTCATGGGGCCCCCTACTGACCCTGGGTCCTGGAGTAGTGCCCGAGTTTCCAAATGGTCAGTCCGCCCCTGCCCCCTGCAGATCCAACTTCAATCACGATGCCCGCCGTCACCGGCGCTGCCGCCTCCGACCTGAAAAAGGAATAAAAAAAAAAAAAAAAAGGCTCCGACGATGGATTCCAGCTGCCTGCCTGCTTTGGTGGTTTGACAGTTCTTAAATATGTAAGGGGTGGGGGCCACCCAGGCACATCACGCATGTGACCCTGACCCATGTAACATCATTGAAGGAAGCCATAGTCAGAAGCGGAGCCTTTTTTAAAAAAAAATATTTTTTCAGGTCAGCAGCAGTGACGGTGGGCATCGTGATTGACATTGGACAGGGACAGTAAAAGCACCACATATTACACAAATTACATAGTTAGGCACATAGTTAACCCCTAGATATTAACCCCTTCCTACCCAGTGTCATTAGTACACTGACTTTATTTTATTAGCACTGATCACTGTATTATTGTCAATGGTGATGTCAGTGGAAACTAGTCAGTTTGTGTCAGATTGCCACTGCACTATCGCAGTCCCATTATAAGTCGCTGAGCACCGCCATAGTAGAAATAAATAAATACAAATTTCAGTATATATCCCATAGTTTGTAGATGCTATAACTTTCACACAGACCAATCAATATACATTTATTGGGATTTTTTATTACCAAAGACATGTAACAAAATAAATTTTAGCCAAAATTTATGAAGAGATTTGATTTTTTAAATTGCATGTGGTTTTATAACAGAAAGTAAGAAATATTGTTCTTTTTTGTTTCTATCGTAAATAATAAAATACCCAGTTGTGATTAACCACTTGCCCTCCTGAGGATTTACCCTCCCTCCCAGGCCATTTTTTGTGTTACGGTGCTGCGTTACTTTGACTGACGATTGCGTGGTCATGCAACGCTGCACCTAAATTAAATTTACATCCTTTTTTTCCCACAAATTGAGCTTTCTTGTGGTATTTGATGGTCTGTGCGTTTTTTATTTTTTGCGCTATAACAGAAAAAGTCCGACAATTTTGAGAAAAAAAAAAAACATATTTTTGACTTTTTGCTATTAAATATGTCTAGTAAAAAAATAAAAAAAAATCTAATTTTGCCATAAATGTAAGTCAAAATGTATTCTGCGACATGTCTTTGCTGAAAAAAAAATCCCAATACGTGTAAATTAATTGGTTTGCGTGAAAGTTATAGCATTTACGAATGGCGGTATAGATACTCGATGGAGTTATAGATACTGGAATTTTTTTTTACTAGTAATGGCGGCGATCAACGACTTATAGCCGGACTGCAGCGGACATTCTGAAACTGAGGGGAACTGACTTGGTGTCACTGACATCCCCAGTGACACCAATACAGTGAGCAATGCTAAAAAAAAAAAAAAAAAAAAAGCACTGACACAGTACTAATGGCACTGGGCAGGAAGGGGTTAATATGAGGGGCGATCAAAGTTAACTGTAAGCAGGGAGTGTTTTACTAGGGGGCAGTCTGTGTGCTTCACTTTAAGTGCACTGCTTTGGATGGCTGTGCTGTACACAGCCATCCAAAAGTAGTGTGCCCGAGCTGACAAGGAGAACTGTTAGTAAACAAAACAGTCCTCCTCCCAGTCAGAGATGCTCGGTAATCACCGGGCGCCGGCGGGTAATCACCGGCCAGAACTGCGAATGGCGGCGCGGGTAGGGCGCGTGCATGGCTCGCGCGCACCACCTACCTGGAAATGCAAAATCACGTACTGTATATGCACACCCCTGCCTCCCTGTAACAGTATATCTGCTATAGGGTGGCGGCAAAGTGGTTAAATACAACCAAAAGAAAGCTTTATTTGTGTGAAACAAATTATATACATATTAAAAGAAATATGTCCAAACATTCCATGCTGTTTCTTGCATGATCAATTGGCATCAACTGGGTAAACCTTAGGATGGTCTCATAGTCAGCTACAGTATGGTATATGTTACAGGCAGAAACACCTGGCAGTTGTTAGGCTGGTCATGTATAGACCAATTCTTCAACAAGAATTCAATTACACCTGAAGCGATGAAAGGAACTTTTGTTCTTTGACTTTTTATGTGCGATCAGTGCTTGTTCCTAATGGTTTGGTCTTTGAACAGTAGCAGATAGATGTTATACATTTTAATGAACTCCAAACAACGATCATCTAATTTTCAGAGATGATTCTCATGACTCGTGTCTATTTTTCATTGTTTTGTACCTATGCTTTAAAGTAAGATTAAACCCAAAAGCAAACTTTACTAAATTGTAAATTGCCATTTCTGAGATATGATCACTGCATTTGTTTTAGTTTCTAGGCTTTCTTTCTTCTGTCTTCATCTGGTAATCTAGCCCAGCCTTGACGTTTCCTCAGGGGTGCCTTCGCAAAATTTCAAAAAATTGCCCAAAATTTGTATATAAGCAAGCAGGTGGAACAAGCATGCCTTTTAGTTACACAAAGCCACAGGTTTTCATTGTGCACCATTACGACCTTCTAGCCGCCGGTGTCCTGACAACCAATGACATCACCAGTTGATAAGGAGGGCATCAGTTGCCTGCACAGCATCCTAGTTTGACCCTCTCCTGCCCCTCTCCATCAGTGCTGGAGTCACTAATGTGATTGAGTTAATACTCAGTGATGGAGAAAAACTGAGGGAGAAGAGAAACAATTAAATACTAATCAGTACCAGTGTACAAAAGCGTATTTGTTTTGGAAGAATAAATCACCTCTAATGTTGGGTGTCCTACATATGTGGATGTTGCTGTGTTATAGAAAACTATTAGAATAGTTTATCACATTTTAGAATGGGGTGCTTTGGGACTGTCCATAATTTTAGAGGGTGCCTCAAGACTGTTCATAATTTTAGTGCGTGCCTCAAGACTGTCCATAATTTTAGAGGGTGCCTCAAGACTGTTCATAATTTTAGTGCGTGCCTCAAGACTGTCCATAATTTTAGAGGGTGCCTCAAGACTGTTCATAATTTTAGAGGGTGCCTCAAGACTGTTCATAATTTTAGTGCATGCCTCAAGACTGTCCATAATTTTAGAGGGTGCCGCAAGACTGTTCATAATTTTAGTGCGTGCCTCAAGACTGTCCATAATTTTAGAGGGTGATGCAAGACTGTTCATAATTTTAGTGCGTGCCTCAAGACTTCCATAATTTCAGAGGGTGCCTCGGGACTGTCCATAATTTTAGAGGGTGCCTCAAGACTGTTCATAATTTTAGAGGGTGCGTCCATAATTTTAGAGGGTGATGCAAGACTGTTCATAATTTTAGTGCGTGCCTCACTGTCCATAATTTCAGAGGGTGCCTCGGGACTGTCCATAATTTTAGAGGGTGCCTCAAGACTGTTCATAATTTTAGAGGGTTCCTCAAGACTGTCCATAATTTTAGAGTCCCCCGGGACAGTCTATAATTTTAGAGGGTGCCTCAAGGCTGTCCATAATTTTAAAGGGTGCCTCGGGACTGTCCATAATTTTAAAGTGTGCCTCAACACTGTCTATAATTTTAAAGGGTGGCTCAAGACTGTCCTTAATTTTAAAGGGTGCCTCAACACTGTCCATAATTTTAAAGGGTGCCTCAATGCTGTCCATAATTTTAAACGGTGCCTAAACACTGTCCATAATTTTAAAGGGTGTCTTGGGACTATCAATAATTTTAAAGAGTGCCTTGACTGAAAAAATGCTTATAAAGAATTAGCTGGCGTTTGGCTTCCTTTTGTTAGTGTCTTCAAATCTCCTAGTACATCTAAACAGCCTGAATATGTTGCTGTCTTTCATTCATCCAGACTGGGGGCACTCTAATACATAGGATGTGATTCTGGTCAAATCGCCCGGTGACATAAGAAGGGAAAAAGCCGTAAAAAGAAAAACTATGCAGCCACCACATCTAATGATTGGTAAGCTGTAATACCTTACATTTTTGGTTTTTAGTTTCATACTGCTTTATTTGTCATTCAGCTCATTAAATGTTTGTTCAATCTTTCTAATATCTTCACTGGAACTTCTAAAAGATTCAGACTCAGGGTCTGTGTACAAAGCCAACAAAAATAAAGAAAATGGATCTATGAAAATGCATGCTATCAGATGTATTCAGAAAAAATAGGTCATATTTAAGATGCATTTAAAGTGGAGTTCCACCCAAAAGGGGAAGTTCTGCTTTAATGCTTTGTCCCCCGCTCCCCATTAAGGATTGGCACCTTTGGGGAGCGGGTACCTGCATTTGACAGGTACCCGCTTCCACTTCCGCTGCGATCGCCTAGGCGATCGGAAGCGGAAGTTCTCCTCCTTCCCTCCCCGTTGCCTTCTGTGACACGTGACAGGTTCCAGAAGACTACGGGGCCATTCACAAAGCGCAATGCTTCTTGCGCATGCACAGTGGGCACCAGGCTGTGAAGCCACAAGCTGTCACAGCCAGGTGCCCACACTAAAGATGCTGGCACCAGGGAGAGAAGATGGCTGGTGAAACCAGTGGTGGTGAGGACACCGCTGGACCGAGGGACAGGTAAGTAGCTGTATTTTAAAAGTCAGCAAGTACAGTTTTTGTAGCTGCTGACATTTTTTTTTTTCAGCTGGAACTCCACTTTAAGTATTTGAGATGCTTTTATGTTGTGTTTGGATGCACTTCAGTTTAATCATCGATTTAAGGTGATTTAACTCTAAATCTGCAAAGTTGGCCATACTAATCTTAAGGCTAGGTTCACACCTATGCAGTTTGTGTTTGACCCGTTTCTGTACTGCGTTTTGCATTGCATTTTTTATGCATTTTGCATTTTTTTTCTTGTTGCTAGGCAGATTTAAAACACTAAACGCAGCAAAAACGCACTACATGCTTTTTTGCAGCATTTCTATTGACGTCTATAAAGCCAAAAATGCTACTTTTTGCATTTAAAAAAGCCCCTGACCCTTTCCAAAAAACGCAGAGATGTGAATTTGTCCCATAGGGAATCATGTTAAATGGACTGTAGTGCGTTTTTATGCACTTATGTGAACCTAGGGTTAGAGCTAATGTCAGAGAGGAGTGAGAGGAGATAAGTGTCACTGACAGATCCACACCATGGGGGAGATTTACTAAATCTGGTGCACTCAGAATCTTGAGCAGCTGTGCATGGTAGCCAATCTGCTTGTTCAGTTAAAGCAGAACTCCGGGCTAAAACTTCTTTACATGTTCTTGAGGCAGGTTTGCTATGTCATCCATCTTCTGGTTCACTTAGTAGTTGTTCTGAAATAGCCTATTAATTTTCAAATCAAACTGTTAATTCTCTTTGGTTTCCTATTTGTAAGACCGGTGGCTGCTATGCCTCCTATCCCCCAGCCACAGGGCTTGACACATCCCTTCTGTAGTTTTTTCTCCAGAAGGCAGTGATGTAATTCAGTGGCACTTGCAGTGGTGGGCCGAGACTCTCAGACACATTCAGCATGTACAGGCCTAGTGTACCCGCCCACATTTACTACAATTCCCTGTGGTTGGTGGGAAGGACTGTAGTTTCCTTTTACTGCAGAGAGTGAAGATGTGATATGATGTAATCCCTGCTATTACACATCCTCCTTGGCAGAGCAGATGCTGTCATTTTATAACTTACAGAGATGAGCTCATGAAAATTCAATTAGACTTTTCTCCTAAATAGTAAGGATTTTCAAAATTGTATTAACTGTTTAGTGTTTTGTGTTGGGGGGGGGGGGGTGATTTTTTTTGCCTATTCAAGTTCTTCTTTAAGCTCTGACACTAAAACTTGGAAACTGATTGATTTCTATGCAGAGCTGCACCATATTTTGCACTCTCCAGTTTTAGGAAATAACCCCCATGGATCTTGGAAAAAAAAAACATTTATCAAGCTATGCTTACCTGTATGCACAATCAATGCCCCATGCAAAAGCTGCTGCTAAGCAGTCATGTTCCTGCTACCAAGGTCAGGATCTCTGCCCAATCATGCAACTTTCATCTCACAATTATGAGCATATATTTTGGTCTTGCAAAATAAACATGCACATTTCATGTACCTTATGTATCTGGTTCAAACAACTGTGAATTTTAGATTTTAGAAAAGTTTGATACCATTTGTACCATACATTGCTCATAAGTCTGGGGAACACCATCTTATAATGTACACTATATTGCCAAACGTATTGGGACACCCCTCCAAATCAGTGAATTCAGGTGTTCCAATCACCTCCATGGCCACAGGTGTATAAAATCAAGGCATACAGACTGTTTCTACAAATATTTGTGAAAGACTGGGTCGCTTTCAGGAGCTCAGTGAATTCAAGCGTGGTACCGTGATAGGTTGCCACCTGTGCAATAAGTCCATCTGTGACATTTCCTTGCTACTAAATATTCCTTGCTCAACTGTTAATGGTATTATAACAAAGTGGAAGTAACTGGGAACAACAGCAACTCAGCCAAGAACTGGTAGGCCGCATAAAATGACAGAATGGAGTCAGCGCATACTGAAGCGCACAGTGCACAGAAGTCACTAACTGTCTGCATAGTCAATAGCTAAAGAACTCCAAACTTCATGTGGCCTTCAGATCAGCACAATAACCGTGTGTAGAGAGCTTCATGGAATGGGTTTCCATGGCCGAGCAGCTGTATCCAAGCCTTACATCACCAAGTGCAATGCAAAGCGTCGAATGCTGTGGTGTAAAGCATGCACAACTGGACTCTAGAGCAGAGGAGACATGTACTCTGGAGTGACGAATCACGCTTCTCTGTTAGGAAATCCGATGGACGTGTCTGGGTTTGGTGGTTGCCAGGAGAACAGTACTTGCCTGACTGCATTGTGCCAAGTGTAACATTTGGTGGAGGGGAGATTATGGTGTGGGGTTGTTTTTCAGGGGTTGGGCTTGGCCCCTTAGTTCCAGTGAAAGGAACTCTTAAGGCATCAGCAGAACAAGACATTTTGGACATGCTCCCAACTTTGTGGGAACAGTTTGGGGATGGCCCCTTCCTGTTCCAACATGACTGTGCACCAGTGCACAAAGCAAGGTCCATAAAGACATGGATGAGCGAGTTTGAGGTGGAGGAACTTGACTGGCCTGCACAGAGTCCTGACTTCAACTGATAGAACACCTCTGGGATAAATTAGAGTAGAGACTGTGAGCCAGACATCACAAAAGTGCTTCTCAAAGAAATTCCCAAAGACACACTCCTAAACCTTGGGCCAACTCAATATTAAATCCTACGGACTAAGACTGGGATGCCATGAAAGTTCATGTGCGTGTAAAGGCAGGCATCCCAATACTTTTGGCAATATAGTGTATCTGGATGGAAAGAGTAGAAAAGGGTTAAAACCTCTGTCAAGTTTCTGTTTTTTTGCTTTCCGATTACCTTTGGGTTGGTATGAAGCATCCATTCTCAGGCAGGGTTAATCTAGAGGTTGCTGGGGGTTCCTTGAGCTGTGGTTTATTGACCTCCGAATTTGGTAGTGGCTACATAATTTAGAGTCTTCCACCATTTGGCAGGGCCAGTAGCTTGACACCAATGATCACTGGCAACCAATATACTTAGCATTCTTCCACTGACCCTTTAGCAGTGGAACCCCAAGACCTGAAAATTATTTCAAGTGTTCCTCTGGAGTAAAAAGTTGGAGAAAGGCTAGTATAGGCTTCACTTGCACTGCATAAAAAATATCTTCTACTTGACCTAAGTAAGAGCTCCACTGCTGTTTACAATGAAGATAGTAAAGATCCCTGAATGTGGAGAAGTCTAAAGGTGAACTCCAGGCAGGTCTATAAGACACTAATTAATGCACCTCTGTATTCAATAATACATCATTAAATTATTTTAATGCAAGCAGTGTAAGTACCTTAGGTTGACAGAGTGCCTCTTGCAGTCCCTGTTCAGCAGGGCTCTAACTGGGGGAAGAAAAAGCAGCACAAGGAGCCAATCAGTTGCGCTACATATCTCATAAGCTAACAAGGCACCTGTTGCTAGGAGGAGAGCAGAATAAGAGAGGTGAGCTACTGTTTCTTCTTTCACTTGACCAGTCACAGGCTGGGGGAAGGGCAAGACCTGTAACTTTTACTGAACTGTTGCAATGAAGAGTCAGGTCTCCTTCGCAATGCCTATGGCAAGCTACTCTACACTGTAGAAGTAGAACCCTTAGGTTCTTCCTCAAGCCTCACTCTCCCTCACTCCTAAAACCCTCTAACCCAGCCTTTCTCAACCTTTTCAACATGGAGGAACCATGAAATAATTTTCCAGTCTGCTAAAAGTTACTATATCTACAACTCATGATACATTACTATGATGGTCAGTGGGAAGAATGCTTCTTACAATTGTGATTAGGAGGAATTACCCTATTACAGATAGCTAAAAAGATCAGTGGTGTCAGTGGGAACTTATCCCTGCAGAAATTGCTCATTACTCAAGGGAGCTCTAACAACCTCTGAAGGAACCGTAGGATTCCATGGGACCCAGGTTGAGAAACCCTGTTCTAACCCATAACATTTTACTTGGCCCCTACTTTTCTATGGTTTTTTCACCTTTTCTTTTTCACCTACCTAACTCATTTACCACTGCATTTTCCTCTCATATACACTACTCTACTCTCCTAAGGGTACTCTTTGACCCTTCCTCTTGTCTTCCCCTTGAAGTAGACTATGCCTCCCATCTGGAAAAATATTTCATCCAAACTTGCATATAGCTGACTATATAAATGCCTTCAAGACATCCATTTGTTGCTTACATATGTCCAGTCTATGTCCTACAGTCTAGGCTCCTGCCATGTCCAGTCCAGTTATAGCATGTGTTACTGGTCATTATAGCTTTTGCAGTTACTTGTGTACTGTTCACACATGTA